TTAATTTTAAAATGAGCTTTTTTTTTTAAGTCTATAATGATATTTTAGCAAAAATATTAAATTTTAGTTTAAATATTTTTCATATTATTCTATAGTTGCTCCATATTATAGAACATTATGGCAGAAATTGATCCATACAACTGATTTTACTTAGTGAGATAAGGATTGTTGTATAGTTGTATTGATTCATATAAACTCATTTTAACCGGAAAAAATAAGATACAAATTCAATAACTCTATTAATATTTCTTTTTTTAATTGATAATTAATTCAATTCTTTTAATCTTTATGGAGACAATATTAATTATAGATAAAAATTTGTTAAATTTAATTTTGAAAGTAATAAAATCTGAGAATTTTTTGTTAAGTAAAATATCTATATTTTGAGAAGCCTAAGGCTATTTGTCTGGATGGTCTTACCCATTGGCTGGCTTTGGCCACAACAATCATGTCATCTCTCTAATTGTACATAATTACTAAAGATAAAATGACAACAAAAAAAGTCTTAAATATAAAAGATTAAAATAAATAATAGATAAAAGAATGTATGTAACTTATAAGTTGATATGGATTTAATACTCCTTAGTATATAGTACAAATCTCACAGAGAAAATATAGGATATGAAGAACTCTCTTACATTGATTGATCAAAGATGCACATCAATTTTCATTATTTATTTATATGTTCAAGCTTAAAGCACCAAACTTTAAATAGATATACTATATGGAACTCCTTTTCCAGTAATTCCAGGTCCTGAAAATGGCTTTAATGACTCATAAGGCATTATACCAGCTCCATTTCTGTTCTTCAAATTCTTATTTTCATTCCTTGAGTCTATAATACCTTCAATCTCTTTCAATCTCCTATGAAACTTTTCAAAGGCTGCTTTTATAGTTGGATTCTCACCCCAAGATGGTTCTATTTTTTCACCAATGTACTCTTCATCTGGTGAATGTGCTGATAATATGTTCAAAATCACCATAAATATAGTTGCTTGAATTTGTGATGGAAAACACTCTAAAAGTGCTTGGTCTGGTTTGTTGATGAATTTTTCCCATTCTTCTTTTGTAGGGTCTTCTGTAGGCATTTTGTTTCTAGCAATGGTTGGTCTATTTGGGAAATAGCCTCCATATGGATATTGTGTGAAGTTCACAGCTGAATGATGTGCAGATGCTACCCAAGCTATAGTGGTAATGATGTCGATAAGGTCTTTTTGTGTTTTGAGTTTTGGCCACCATGCTTCTTCGCTTTTGTCACCATGTCCTACTGTTTTAATTTCTGTCCACCATGCTTGGAGCTCTTCGTCAGACTCTACGATTTCCGGGCTTGGATAGTAGTGGTTGACATAGTCTGTCACCCATTGTTTGATTGCATCCCATATTAGAAGACCATCATTTGCAAAAGGATAGTCTTCAATTGCTAGCTTTAGGCCATGTTCTGCATTAGGATCTTCCACAGCCATTCCTCTGAGAAAAAAAATAACATTTTATATAATTACAACTAACACTGGCATACATTCTAAAGTACTGGTGTCGACATGTCAATATCAATATTGTGTCTGGTGCTTGCGTCTCGTGTTTGTGTTTTTGTTAGTGTTGGTGCTTCATAGTGTAATATTCAACGTCTATAATATAAATGTTACCTATTGATAAGATCATTTGGAAGTGCCTGCAAATCAAATTGCCAAAGCTTATCATACGCCACAGAGCTTAATTCCATTGTATATTTTTTAGGAAAGAATGATATTTCAAGGATCCCGTTTGCATTAATAAGCACTTCGCGAGCAACTTTATTGATCTCCATGGTATATCTTAGATGTGGATGCAATAATCTATAAATCGGATGCATGGAACTGAGTTGTCTGTAGGTTGCAATTATTATAGGTTCAACAACACAATGAGTTCTTAGCCTGCAAAATTACACATTTAACAAATTACTAATTAAGCTAGTACTAATTATAAGCTTGACATAACATCTCATAGATGTTAGAATCTAATCGTTACTCACCAATGGCTTATAAGTTCATGATGACCAGACTCATGAGCAAGAACATGAGCTTTCGCAAGCCTCCAAAGCCAGAGATTGGTGGAATGAGAAGCAGGTGTGAAGACTTGCTTCCATTGTGGCTTGCCGTCAATAATCGGTCTTGTGAGCTCAATAGCTAATGGCTTCAATATGCCTTGATTGGTGAGGAAGAATAGTGTTCTTGATCCATATAGTGTTGTGCCCTCAATCTCTCTCACTTTACTTACATATGGTAAGTACAAATCATGATAGTCTAGCATGAACAACTTCTTTTCTTTAATAGCCTGTATAGTGTTCAAAATAAATGATTTTCAAGCACTATACAATGTTAATTTAGTAAAAAAAAAAATGCATTGATGCTTTAGAAGTACCTCTTCAAATGTGCTATAAGTGATTATTTGCAACTCAATGATTTCTCTAGTAATCGCTGATTCTTGTGGACCATAGACTTTGGCATCTAGTTTACTTTTCAAAGGCCATTCCTATAAAAACTTCAAAAGTTATTTCACGTGTATGTAAATATTGTGAAAGGACTAAAATGATGATTAGTTTGTAGCAATATCCATGCCTTAACCAATTGGATGCTATACGGATTGGCACCGGCCAAAGTTTCTCTGGCAAACTCCACGTCTGAAAACCAAAAGAATCTATCCCCTACGATTCCAAAGCGCATATTCATATCAATTAGAAACTAGGAAAGATCTTTAATAACTTATTTATATGATAAAACTTACTTTTTAACGGTTCCGGGGCATCAAAGCGCAAAAGATTTTGGCTATCATTGGCAACCTTAATCAACTTTGGAATGACCTTCTGGAGAAACGTCAAGTCATTGGATTTAAGAGGCGGTAAATGAAAACCTTCTTTGTAAATTTCTTCTATGTCTTCAAAGCTTGCAAATCCAAGATTTGGATCAGTGAGGATTGTGTCTAAGGATTGTATAACTGCAGTCAAGCCTGAGGATATGGTAGAAGTGTTGAATTGTGTCTGCTTTATTTCAGAAAACGACTCATCGCGAGGAACATAGAAGTTTAAAGTACTCCTTTTTTCATACAACGGGTCTGCATAAAAAATCGTGTTATAAACATATATATATATATCTTGAAGCGTCGAAATTTAAATATATTAACTAAGAATAGATAACCTGCATCAGAATGCTTTCGACCGGTACGACAGCGTCTAGGATATGGATATTGTTTGGTGCCACCAAGAACGGGTCTTTTGAGTTCAATGCTGGTGTCAGGATCTCCAAGATCATTGTACACATCATAGTCATATATTCTGTCTGATTCTTTTCTTTCTCCTTCTCCATTCCCTCTCAGTAGAACTAGCTCTTCTTTTCTTAATCTTCGCAACCCTTTCGGTGTTTGAGATGGTAAATATGACTGTTACATCACATGCATATGTTAGTTAACCATAGAAACATAAGAATTTCTCCAAAATTAGCAGTGTTTAAATTTTTTTTAAAAATCTAATTACCTTGTCGGTGAAGAAAACTCTCTTTGCAGGACTATCATGCTTCGGTTGAATCCAAGAATTGCATGTGAAATTGAGAGGGCCATCAGAGAAGCCATGAAGGACTATACTCTTTAGAAAAACCTCCTTGTGTTGCTCGTTTTCAACAAAAATAGCACCAACCTTCCCAAAATTTACGGATAGCTCGAATTCGGCCTCATATTGCTCGTCGTTCTCTTTTTCCTCTGTAAATTGAGCCAAGCCTTTTGCTGTCTCCTTCTCCGAGGAGTTCGCTGCTACATTCACAGAAACATCTTAATAACTTCCTAAACTGTACATACTGCAAAACTCAACATGTTAATCTAAAATTTGAACTTACCTTGATCAAGCTCATTGCTTACAAGTTCTAACACAAGTGTTTTTCCGACTAACTCTTCAACCTGTTGGATCCCTCCATCTACAAGATTCTTTAGAAGACCATCATCACTATGTTTCAAAGTAACAATAGCTTTCACTCTTATAAAATTCTGAGATTTCGTGTTTGTGTCATCGGAGTCACTGCTACTTCCCATCACAGCCTTCACACATTGAGTTACGCAATCCATGTGAAGCGAAGTCGTTAAATATCTGATCAGTGTTTAAGAGAGTTTAATCTCACTAATAATGCTTTGAAAAAAATCTATGATATATTATGAAAATCTTTCATATATTTATAGGGTAGAAAATGTAGTATTAGCTAGAGATAAAGATTGTTGTGAACTAATTAGTCAACGTCATGGTGTTTGCTTAACTTCTTCTAATGAGAATATCAATATTACACTCCAAAATAAGGTAGAAAAATTTTCATGGCTATTTTAATATCTTTACGTTATGATCTGTATTGGGGAAAGAAGAAGCACATGGTACACAGTTTAAAAGGAAAATTGAAGTACGTATTTTCCAAAATCTAGTGATAGAACACAAACACAAACACAAACGTATATTAGCTCAAGACAGTGTTGAATTTTGTTTGGAAATCCATTGAGGTAAATATGTTAATAAAATTAACAGTGCATTTTATGCAAGTGGAGTAATGAATTGGATTCGAGGGGCTTTAAGAAATCTCTAATTAAATATGACAATAAAGTCTCACCTTTTTAAACATTACTTTTGTCACAAAAAAAAAAGTCATGATAATGAAAATACATAATTTGGACAACCAAAATTGTAATTGAAATTACCATAATTAGAGAAGTGATATTTAATTGGTATGATGAAAAAATTATAGCAACACACAAATATAGATGTGTCACTGCATTCTTTAACTTTCCCTTTTGCACAGATAAATCTATAATCATATTTATTACGTTTCAAACACTAAATTTGTGTGTTTTTTTCGTTATTTATGATAATTGTGTTACAAGATAAACTTAAACTTAAATTGGAATCATAAAATAAAATAAAACAAAACTTAAATTTGTTTAACGTGAAGTGTTGGCCATAGGTAAAAAAAAGTCAAAACAATGAAAACCTCTGATAAATGCATTTTATATATCAATGGTGTCACCAACCATTATTTTTTTTGCTACAACTACTATTCCTTATGCTACACACTATTTGGAGACCATTTTTCCCAACCCGACATCAATGCATTCAAGAAATTACCATTTTTTGCCTGGATGCATGCTTCTGAACAATTTATGTGGTCCAGATGCATCCGTCCGAACATATGGAGGGTTCACCCAAGCTATTTACCTTTATTAGAACCCTATATGTTAATTGATGAAGGGGGTGGGTGTTGGACCAAAAATAAAGGATGGAAGGGACAAATCTAAATTAAAGCTGCTGCCTATATACATCTGTGTGTATCATAGAACAAACATGGAGGAAAAAGACGCTAATCACACTAAAACAAACACTACAACTTCTAAGTTTTCTTTTTTTTGTACTGAGTGGTCATTGGACTTCCATTAGACGACAAACAGCCACAGCCACACCCAGCTGGGTATGAAATGAAAATTCGATGCTTTACTTCCTATGCTTTTTCAACAGAGGTTCTGATTGCCCGTCTCCCTGCCAAATTTGAACATTTAAATGGACATTAATATCAATTAAGAAAATAATACCCCATAATTACACAGGTTTTTGGCTAAACTAAGATCAGAAAAATATACCAAGTCGAACAACAATTGCAATACATTTATCACATACAACTAACTATACACATTGAGACCTTTTCAGAGGTTGCCAAGATTGCGATCCAGATCATAAAATTGAACAATTCAACGATCTCACTCACCCCTGAATGATCCAGATTGTGTGTAGAATAGTGCGTTTGAGCAAGATCGCAGCAAAATCGCCCCCAGATCGTGAAATCACAACATTATGAACAATCCTGGACGTTTCTGGGCTGTAGCTGCATGGGTCTTGCCTGACCCAGTTTGCAGTCCGGTTCTATAAAAACGGGAGAGGAAAAAATTTAAAATATTTTCATCATATCCCTCCCTCACAACAGTCTTTGCCTCTCGCACTCCTTTTTGCCCTTCTCTTCCTCTTAAGAGACATGTGACAGCCGACAGTGCTTTCGTTTTTACTCTTTGACTCTCATCACGTAGTAAGCTTCTTTTACCCTTCATTTTCTCTGTTTTTTGTCTTCAGAATCATGTTTCTTTCTTTTTTTGCCTGTTTTTTTTCTCTTTCATTTTTGTATGTTCTTTGTCTCTTGTGTTGTGAATCGTCTCCCTCTATCAAGTTTTTTTTGCTAGTCTTTCATTTTTGGCTGTGAATAGACTTTGGTTTTTGCTACATTTGTGATTTGATCTAACCTAGGCTTTAAGTATTTTATTTTTTATACTTGGCTGTTTTATGTTTTAGATTTAAGAATTTGAGTAGTTTTATGTTTAAGATTTGAGACTGAGTAGTTTTATGCTTAAGATTAGAAACTTGATTGTTTTATATTTAAGATGTGAACTTATGCACTATATATATAGTATTACTTTCTTTTTAGTAGGATCTTACAATTTTGATTACGATCTTATGTCTTACGATCTTGCTACTCTCTCTCAATCCTACAAAATTAATTGAGTAGAATCTTCCATCTTGGTCCCCATCTTATGTTATACGATCTCGCTACTCTTCTTCCCAATCTTATGCAAGATCTTGATCCTGGCAACCTAACTTTTAACACAATTATTTACAAGAAAGCATTGGCTTGTCCTAGTTAGCAGTCAAAGAAATTTCACAGGCACTAACTATATTCTTTTCAACCAGGGGTGCAAAAAATCTCAATGCAAACATAAGTTCAAGCTTGAGGAGTAAATTGCCAGTAAAGGTAAAGTGGATCAAGTAATAGCCCATCCCAAACTCATTTGAATTATTCAGAGAAAGGCACTTCCATAATATAAGCACTGGCAGACAATTTGATCCTCCAAATTTACATACTGAATAATTTGTTCCTTAAATTGAAGGTCGCCAATCAATTTAGTCTCTCTTTCATCTAATAAATTGAAGGTCATCAATAAATATAGTCTCTCTTTCATCTAATAGAGACAAAAATGCTTAGTTGACATGTTTAGGGCATGTAACCAGAAATTTGTTAAGGGCTACCATTGATCTCTATCTTGCAATTCAAATTCATCAAACTTGATTGACAGATGAACTAAATTGATTTCCGGTCATCAATTTCAAGACCTAAACTACCATTTCGTAAATTTGAGAGTGCAAATTGTTCGATCCATACAATTTTAGGGGCCAAAATAGTGGTTCACTTACAATAATTATGACCCATGAATCATTTCCAAAGAGATAACGGACAACAAACTTACAGCATGAGATAGTTGCTCGCGGATATAGGCCATTGACCGTAGCATAGCACCCAATGTATCCTTGGACACCTGAAACTTAACTTCTGACTCGCCGGAAGTTGTATCCGCATCTTGAAGCTGAAACATTTACAAGATTTAAATTCAACAAACAAAAAGCAGGTCAAATTCAAGAGGTAGATAATCCAATAATAACACATAATAGTATAATATGCTACAAGAAGAGACATGAGGTCGTGATATAATTAGTGACAAGTTATTTCGGCATTTGTTTTTATAGATATCTTTCTTTCTATTCTTTAAGAGAGGGAGGGAGCACTGGTGATCAGTGAAACCTAATAATGCTTGTGATTTCCAAATTGTGAATAAGAATTGTATTTGTAAGATACAGTATCAAACTGAATAATAACTTCAAAAAGAAGATATCGTATATGTGAGCATATGATTGAAGACAATGGCCAGTAACACAATATTTGGCGACCTGGAAATAATAAAACCCATGAATTATTAAATCAATTTTAAAAGTCACAAGCAAACTAAGTCCTTACATTATGGAGTAAATATTAAAAAGAGAAAACACAACAAAGTTGATAAGTAACATGGATTAGCGATAGGGTACACTATTTTAAGAGATGTCCCGATGATTGGGAAAAGCAAATTGCTAACAGCCTTCACTGAATTTCATAAGAATCTGGTTAGTACTTGAAAAAATCCAATCATGAGGCTTTTATCAACGAGGTCATACCAATCCAGGTTGGATCCATCGCAAACAGCCTAAAAATATTGTAATTGTGCTATCAGTTTTCAGCGTCATAACTCAAATAAGAATAATTCAGAAAGGAAAAAAAATCGAATTGCACCTATTAATGCAATACCATCTCAATTCCGATACTGTTCTAATTCACCCTCAGAAATTGTGCATTGGATCTAGTTGTTCGATTGAAATTGAGAATTATATGATTTTGATAATATCATACGGATCCATTATTGAACCAAAAGTGAACATATTAGACTATTTCCACAAAGAATCATCCAAACAAAAGAAAGTAACACACAATATATATATATATATATATATATATATATATATATATATATATATATATATATATATATATATATATATATATATATATATATATATATATATATATATATATATATATATATATATATATAGCTTACGCAAACAAAGGATAAAGGCTTGTAACAAACTGTGCCAAATCAGCAGTCTCATTGAGTTGTAAATACTCAACCTAATGAGTATTGTAGCTAATTTCCCTTTTGAGATTTCATAATAACAAAATATAGAATACTCTAGATCTATCTATCTCTCTTCTTCCATTTCCCTCTTTCTATTAACACAACGACATTATATAAAACTACTGTTCCTTGAGGAGAAAGTATTCTCTTTTGTGAAGAGGGGGGGGACCCTTGAGGAGAAAGTGTTCTCTTTTGTGAAGGGGAAACCCTTGAGGAGAGGTTATCTCCTATTCTATCCTATTTTTCAATAAAGGTGTTCTTTCTTAATCCAATTCTTGGGTTCCTAACAATTGGTCCAAACCTGCCGGATCTTCAAGGAATGACAGTGTTGTTGGAGATGGAGGCATCACATAGGGTGAATTTGCCAACTTTTACAGGGAAAGATCCCATTAGGTGGCTTGCAAGAGCTGAAATTTTTTTTGAGGTGCAAGAAACTCACGAGTTTGATTAGTTGCAAAGGGCTTTCATGAGTATGGAGGGAGAAGTCATGCGTCGGTTCAGTTCTTGGTGTCAAAAGGACCCAAATTCAAACAGGGCGTCACTCTCTTCAAAAGGAAGTTTGACCACAGATGTTCAAATATGAATCGGGCTGTGCTTTTTTAGTATTAGAATAGTTATGAAACAAAAATTATATAAAATAGTAAAGACATGTTTAGAAAATAAAACCACATACCTTGAGATTTATTACAGCAACCTTATTAGCTGGTGTTGAGAGTTGTTCGCTGATGTAGGCCATAGACTTCAGCATTGGCTCCAAAGAAACTTTTGAGAGCTGAAACTTAACCTCGGATTCTGTTGATGGACTCCTACCATAATCTTGCAACTGCAATATGGTGCTTGAAATATGTTAAAAGGACTAAATCTTCTAACTGGTTATCAATTATAATATGAGAGGGAAGAATCAAAGTACTTTTCCAACTGAAAGGCTACAGAAGATATGCATAACTATGCAAATAAAGTACTGAAATCTAGACCAACGTTAAAGCTAAGTTAAATTAAGAATATTAGAATTTAGTTTTTCTTAGTAGAGGATAATACAAGCATACCTTCAGATTGATAACAGCTGCTTTATTCCCGAGACTTGAGTTTTTGTTCTCCATTACCCATGTCATCGATTTTAGGCATGGAAGAACCGCCTATATGAAAGAAAACAAGGATCAAATTAGTTCCATGGAATCCTATTCCATTGAACAATAGAAACAGATGGTAAAAGGATCTTTTCCAAGTACCATGTTTCCAGATGAACCATCCTCTCGATGAAGAGACACTGGGGCCATTCGTGGCAAATTTAGGTCAGCAACTGATTGAACTGGACCACCAGAATCATTAAGATTAAACCTCCTTGTTATTTCATTGTGTCGCGGCCACAAAAGAGGAGTTAAATCTGAAGTTGAAGTGGTCATGATTTTCTTGTCATTGTAAGTAGTCCCGCTGACTTGATTATTAGGAGGTGTAGCTTTGGCAACACTTCTTTTCATCGCAGCAACCTTCTTTCCACCTTCTTTAAGACCAGTCACTGCAGCATTATAAGTTTCCACAGTTACTGCTCCTTCCTCGGCATATCTTATGGCTTCCCGACATAGATTACTGTACCTCAATGTTAGAGACTCCTGACTATGTAATTCACCAATACGTTCATCCGATCCAGCACTACTTTTAGCATTTTTTGTCCAACGTTTTAAGATGTAATGGGATGGTAATGTAAGTACATTTGTCACAGTGAAAACAGTTAAAATGTGCCTGCAAAGAAT